GTCGGTGCAGTTTCCAGGTCACTATAATCCTAGCAGCTTTGGTGAGGGCAACTGGACTTTATTGATCTTATGAAAGACATTTTCAAGATCCCTGAAGGAATCCGGCTGCCTCTACTCAAACTCTTATGAGCACCCAGGAAGCGCTCGTAGCACAAATGAATGTAAATGGGAATTTAGGTAAACGTTTTGGGATTTATTCAAATAAATTTTGTGACAGATCTCTTCTACAGAATTATTAAGGAAACAGAAATCATAATTGTAAAACAATAAGATCCCATATTTCTGCCTGTGAAGCTCCCTGCCCGCATCATCGCTATTCAAATCCGACCCAGCCCTTGGGCCTCAGAGCCCTGGAGCTTTATGGAAAGTCACCTTTTAAAAGTGTGTGCGGACGTCCAGCACATTTGCATGCCCACATTTCGCGAGGGAGAAAGTGGGTGTATGCTTTTCAGGGTCAATTTGCATGCGTGTGTGACGTTCTCGCTGGTGATGTAGCTCCATTCCACGGATGGGTGGAGTGCATGCCTCGGAAAAGACTGCCTCTTTGTGTCAGACGCAAGCAGGGTGACTCCTTCGGGCAGTGCAGATGGATCACTTTTTGATCTCTCCTGCTGATCTCTGTCAGGGGTGAAAGGTCGCTCCAGCCACAAATGCCGATCTCACAGATTCCAAGGCGCATTGAGCAACTCGTGTGCTTTCAAATGATAATGGAATTTTCCACCTCTCCCCTGAGCCTGAAGGATAGATACTGCATCTGCCACAATCCCTCTTGGTGAAAGGCTCTTATGTATTTTCCTCATAACCATCCCTTGGTACTCACCTGTCAAAGATTCCAGCTATATATCTTTCCAATGGGGGCTCTCGTGCCTGTCTAGGCCTGGCTGCTATTGATTTTCTTTGTCTGTGACAGCACAGGACCTGGTGAGCAGTGGGACGACATTTCCAGGAAAAGAACAAATCCGGTGATCCATCTTTTTAACCTGATGCTGCTAAATTTTTCATGTACTGCACCAAAAACTGCTGAAGGAAAGACAAAGGACGAATCTCTTTTTCCCTTTCATTCATTTTAACACCGAATCAGTATCGCCCCCACTATTTGATCACTAAGAGATCAACTTGGACAAATAAAAATTCCCTAAATAAAAACAGGATAGGTTAAAAGCATGCACCAACCTTTGTGATTTGCCCAAAAAAATAACAAACTGTTGAACACATTACAATATAAAAAGGTATCATGTTTAACATTTTGTTGAAAATGATGACAGTAAACAACTTGTGAGCTTTAAAATGCTCAACTTAAACATTGCAAGACCAGAGCGCGAGGCTCATGAATAAGTAACCTTGCCCAATTGTGGTGAAAAATAGCCCAAACTGCATTTGGCTCAAGCTACGTGAGACAAAACAATTCAAGCGGAGGCCTCACAAAGAAGAACATGTGGCAAAATGAACATTCCAGGGGTTATTGTATGTGTATTTATTCCATTTGTTATGGAGTAAACACCTTTCAGTGGACGAGAAAGGGTTTATGGTAGAAAACAATCAAAACAATTGTAAATGTATATCTGAAAGTCAATTTAAGTGCTAAATGAAGGTTGAGGTTCATGTGGACAGCATATTGCATTTATCTGCATCAAATTTATGTCTTAACTTGGCTTTAGGAAATCAAATTAAACTGTGTAGCCGCCCTAACTATTTCAAAATGGCAGTACTGTGGTATTCATTGACAGATTTTTAGGAAAACCAAAATCCTTACGTTGCTACTGTAGAAATACTTTGATCTGATTTGTTGTACTGTGTCATAGATTTTTATGGCTGTGTCTAAAAATATTTCAAGCTACATAAATTAGGTTATATGAGTTATTAGTTATATAAGTTTAACCTGTTTTATGCAAAAACATGACACTGTAGCTTATTTTAATTCAGTCACACATAAAGTTCTTACCACAAAATGCAACATATATAAATTCCAGAATTTTTAGCTTGTTTGATTTGGTCTTTAAACTCTGGATGTACATTTGAAAATATACATTTTGTCTGCAGTTTTTGAAACTTTTTCTTTCCAAGAAACTTATCTGACTTTCCATTTAAGTTCATTTGCTGGTTTAGAAAGAGAATAAACCTGTCTCTTTGCAGGAGGACTGTCTGTCACTCTGTAATGACTTACGTAATAGCGAATCGCAAGCATGCTTTGGGGTTGTGCAGTTGGGTCACATGCCATAAGAGTAAACAGCTCTTGCTGTCAGCAGCTTCAAACCAAACTAATAAAACCCACAACACTGCTGTAACATTTAGAAACGTGTTTATTTGTAGGCTGGTTCTTTTTCTCTTTACACAAGCACTACATTTCTTCTATGCGTTGAAAGGTAAGGGACGCATACATCTGTGAGAAATAAGGAGAATGGTGACGTGGGTTGTTATCCAGCTCATCTGATGACAAAAAAATGTGCTAATGGCCTTGTTTAAGACAAAGTCTTTTCTCAAGCAAACAGGGTAGTTATTCTGTGTCTCTGGGACTCATCCACAGGCTGAGTGGTGAAGCGGAAAGTCGTATTATTTTGACTGTGCACGGGTGGCCATGGCAGCTTATGGGTGTGGCTGACCAACTTCTTTAAGTTGGCAATGAATAACTTTCTCTACACTCAGTCTTCTACAGAGAGACAATTCAGGAAGTTTTAAAACAAATACAGAAGAGTTTTGTTCCGCAATTGCTTTAAATATTCCAAAGTGGAGGCTGGTGTTTAAAAGGTCATAAAGGTTGGTACATTACAGAAAATTGTGTACTTCTCTAGCAACGCTTCTTTTGTATCAGTACAGTCGTAGCTGCACCCAAAGTGCACAGACTCACAGAAGTTTACTTTTCTACGGATTTGACCAACTCAAACTAATTTATTCTCCCTCCGAAAACTGTGACACTTCAGTGCAGTCATCTTAATTTCATGCTGCAAATCATCAATTATGGCTTTTTGTGTCACATTTAACTCTTCTCGATTGAACAATTTGACACCCTTTTCAGTGTCCACACCACTTATTCCCAATGGGGTCATCTCCGCTGACTTTTGACAAAACACGGGGTGCATCCGGTCCATCACAGCGCCAGAGAGAGACTGACAAACACACACACTCACTCACGCCTCAAAATCAAAAGGCAAAACATTATGAAAAACAGATGAGCAAACCTCCTGGCTCTCTGGGATGAACATCACAGACCAAATATTACCAGATTATGGGAAGAGCCGGTTTTCACATATTCAAGGTGTCTTGTATCAACAGCTTACTATTGAGCATAAAAAAAATAATAAAAAAACAGTTGTCTTCTGACTTATGTTAAGAGTGCGACTGATGATGACTAACCTAGTGGTGAAGACGGAAAAAGAGTGGCAAGGCAAGAAATCATGTGGCTGCCTTATTAATGTGTTTCCATGGAGCAAACATACGCATGCAAAACACCATTGCTCGCTGAACTGATACTGCCTTGTAGAACTGAACTGATCCAGTTACTGAAATTGTAGCAGAAACGTGGTGATGAAATGAAGAAAGAATCCCTTTCGTGTGAACCTGCACAACTGTCTTTAGGATTTTGTAGCTGGACAACATCCTTCATTCGCCTTTTAGTCATTTTCGTAAATTAATCAGGCAAATAACTGTAGCCCTAAATAATTTAAACAGTATTCAAAGGAAAGTTGATTTTTTTTAAACTTTGAAAATCAGGCAAACCGAAGTTGTTGCCTTTGGGTCTGAGTACCTTATGAAGAAACTGTCCAGCTAAATAGAGTTCTAGATTGTTTTTCCTTGGCTTCAATGTCTACACTGAGGTGTCTTTGAGTTGCTGTTGACAATGATCTGTCCTTTCACACAGAAACAAATTCCTAGGAGTACCTCCTTTCACGTTTGTTACAGTGCCAAAGTTAGCAACATATGTCTCAGCATGATGGAGAAATCTAGTCCATCAAGTTTGGACTGATGAAACTCTTTGTAATTTGGCTGTCCCCAAAAATGATCTGACAATCCAGCTGATCCAAAATGCTGCAGCCAGAATTCTGATGAGAATAACCAGGACTGAGATAATTTTTCTTTAGGTTCCAACACTCTCTTCATCGATTTTCTCCTCAGCTAAGAACAGAATTTAAAATTCTGCACCCAACAGATGAAGTTCTCAATGACCGAGCGCCATCCATTTTCTATACCGCTAAGTCTTCCGCTATCGGGTTCTTTGGAGCTTGTTTCTTCTTTTCTGTCTTCTCAACACCCAGCCACTGTCCCTGAATCAGTGAAACTGAAAAGTATTGGCAAAGTATATTTAAATGACACGGTTGCTATTTGGTGCTTGATTAATAAAAACAAATTGAATTGAATGAATATTCATAAACTTTCTGAAACTAGGACAATAATATTGTAATCGTTCCCAAAGGAAGATGCACCATATCTACAGTATTTATCAATATTAAAGATATTTTGTTGTAGGAGAAATACACATAAATGAGATAACAAAAGTCAAATATTCTGGGCAAGCAGAAATTAAGGGTTTTATAGATATTTTCAAGAAATTGCTAAGCGTTTCAGTAAATATTCCCCAATTCAAATGTTGAGGTATTAAGTCAAGTTTTTAAAAAAAGTTTCAATATGTTTTTTATATGTGTAACTGTCAAGTTTTCTGAGTGTTCCAGCTGGGGTCCTTTCCTCTCCGACAATATTATTTTTTTCTTAATGACAATTGATAGTGTTGTGTTAACACAGCGTTTCAAGAACAAAGTGTAATACTTTGTGATTACATTTACACGATCCTTCAGTAACAACTGTTAGATTATCATTGTTAATAGTGGTCAAAACAAGAATACTAATATTATTAATCTGATAGAACTATTATTATTCATCGCTGGATATGTAAGTAGTCACCGGAGAAAAAATAGTCTGTCCAGCTTTGAGAAATCACCATCATCGACCATATTCCTCCGCTGCGTACTATATTTTGCAAGGAGAGAGGAAGTCGAACAACAGCTCAGGCGGAGTGATTTGAAGCGGACTACACCCAAGCGCCAGTCTGATTGCAGCGGCTTCTCTTCGTTGCCTTGGCCAAAAGAAAGCCGGGACGTGGATCAGCCGGGTTTTTCTGCTTGCAGGAGGCGCGCTGTTTACCGATTGATACAGATTCCTCGCAGTTTTTCGTCGTCCGACAGACGATCTTGATTGATCTTACTTTACCCAGCGTACTTCACTCTAGAACTAATACATAAACATGTCCTGGCAAAGCTACGTGGACAACCTGATGGCGGATGGCAGCTGCCAGGACGCGGCCATTGTTGGGTATACGGATGCCAAATACGTCTGGGCATCTTTCCCAGGCGGAATTTTTGCCAGCATAACGGTCAGTAAACTCTGTGTAACTATATACATTTTTTCTGACGCGACTGTGCTTTTCCGAACGAGCTTTATATGCTTGTGTATGTGTGTGTCTGCATAGCCAGGCCTAGTTGAAAGAGATACACATGGTATCCGGTGGTCGCACTTAAGATGCATTGGAAGACGTGCGGCGTTATTTTTAAGTGTAGCATCCAAATTTGTAATTGTCTTAAGTTACTTATTACTTTTGCCTAAACAGTGAATAATAAGAATTAAGATTATATCCAAAAGGATGCCAAAGCTATCGACTAACGGCCCAAAAGAACTGGAGCTAAGAGGCTAGCGAGCACAGATGGCTAGCCGTAAGTGGCCGTGTCAGAGCAACGTCTTATTTTATACTTTTTTTTTTTTTAATGTATGTATAAAACTTGAAATTGAACGGACATGTTAGTTATAAACTTAAGCCCTGCCATAACCGTTCTTGGCGGAAGAATGTCTTGGTCACACTGTAACAATATTGGCTCGGGTTTAGCTCAAACCAGGCCGGTCAGTCTCATTTGAAACCATCAGAAGCTAATGCCACAAGCTCAAAAGCTGCTGGTGTTCACGTGCGCTCCTAACGTGCTGGCTGGCCATTGGTTTCCCCCCCCCCACTTTATCGCAGTTCTACTTCCGTGAATCAAACTGACGCTACCGCCCATTTTCTCCAAAATGGACAGCGCTCCCTGTTCCGTAATTTTGTTCATAGAAGCTAACTGGTATTTGCCCGCATACTTGTCGCGGCGGCCTTGCCTGTGCCGCCATACGAATAATCTTAGTTGACCTCAGCGTTTCTTTATTCACATTGTTACCGTCTACGGTGGTGTTTCTTCAAGCCTCCATTTTGTAAACCGCGTCTCTCTAATTGTGTATTAGAAGGCATGGATTTTCACCAAACATTTTTTCGTTTGGCAGATTCTGCCAACGCAATGAATTGCTAAACTATGGCATATGCTGCAACCAAGCCTGCCGCCTATTAGCCAAGTCAATTTGGGAGTGCCCCCTCGAATAGGGTGTTATACGTTAGAGATTAATTGGCTGGTTTGATCATTAACCTTTAAAAATCCTCCAATGGGATGCAGGACATAGACACCGACTTCCCCGTAGGATTTCCCTTATTATTCTTAAACGTTTACGACAAATGAGGAATTATTTGTAATTGGTCGAAACCAGCGTTCGCCAGGACTGCTGTGTTCAGACTAAACGATGAAAGTTTTGAAATTGGGCGAGTTGACACCGGGAATGAAAATGGGTTTTGGTGGTAATCTTTCAAAAATCGTCAAATGAGAAACGATATTCGATGCTATTGGCCTACTGGGTTTGGACGCGCGGCTAGCCACCATGCTAACCTAATCTGATTCAGTTACTTTGCTGCCTCCCCCCCTTTTTTTTCTTTCTTTAGTTTTCCTGTGTGCAATTGACTGTGCACAACCAGAGTGGAAAGGCTTTGCCTTAAAATTCTTCCACATACTCCTTCTTGGGCTGCCTTGAGTTTGAAACTGTTCTGAGCTATTGGACAGACTTAATAATTTTAGTCAAAGTATAAAGAAAATGTCACACTGTCCCATGGGAATGAAAAAGCCCAACAGCCTCTGGTCTGGAAATATTGCAAGTTTAATTTTAACATTAACTCTTATATGCTTGTCTGTGTAGTTTTGGGTCTATATATATTTTTATGTTTGAACTTCAAATAACTTCATTCCCCTCTTTCTTTTACTAGCCTGCTGAAATCGACCTACTAATGGGAAAGGACAGGGATACGTTGTTCACCAAGGGGATGACTTTAGGCAATAAAAAATGCTCGGTTATCAGAGACAGCCTCACCACTGATGGAGACTGGACAATGGACGTTCGGACAAAGAGTCAAGGAGGGGAGCCGACATACAATGTTTCTATAGGCAAAGCAGGAAAAGGTGAGCATCACTTCAAAATTCTTTTTAAAGTTGATATAGTAGTTGTGACACTGTCACTTGGTGGCCTGCTTTGATGTAGTGCTATTAGTCTATTGCCTATATGTGGTGCATGCATGTGGTTCAGATGTTGACTTGAACCTTTCCTCAATATGTGATGGGTGTAAAAAATGACTGGATATTACCATTTGGGGTCAGTTGATTTAAAAAAAAAAAAAAAAATAAAGTGGAAAACTTCTATTTGACCATGTTTGTAGTAAATTCAATTTAGGCTGTTTTAGCATGAGGAAGTTTTTAAGAGGTTCTTTAGGTTAACAGAAAAGTCTTATTGCCATCTGAGGGATTTATTGCTGAACATATGAATTGTAAAGCTGAAGTTTCCTCCTTTTTAGTAGATTCTTCCAACCCCCCCTTTTATATTTAGGTGAATTTTTTTATATTTTTCCCTTTTGTGAGTAATGTGCCTTTATTTTTACTTGAAGCGAGTAGTTTAGTGTCTCCCCTGGTCCTATGCCATTATGTAGATTCAAAGTTCTTAGACATATCTGTATTGTTGCCCTCTGAAGCTTAAAAGTTTGTCAAGGATTTTGTCCGCTGACCAATTCTCCACAGCTCACATTGTTGAGCACTCAGGCAAGTTGTCCATAATTAAGACAATGGTAAATGATAAGTCGGTAGTGATATGGAAACTTCCTGAAATGTCTTAGTATTCATTTTGAGTCTTGAGTTGTGGGGAGATTTAAGTTGTCGCATCATTAGCCATGTCTGAGTATTGTGCCAGCGTTTATGTTGTCTGTATGGGCCCCCATGCACTGCCCTTACTTTTTCTTAAAGTTTACAGGTGGCATACCCCTATCAAGTTTTTTCCTACTACAACCTTGCACAACTTCCCGACTGCATGCATCTTTTTCTTTCTTGGTTAACAATTCCACTGTCTTCAGATATAAATGTGTTCCCCTGCACATGACTGGGCTTTTCATCATTCTCACATGTATTGAGGAGAGGTGCCTCATCCATGCATGCTGCTGCATGTGTTTGACTGACGATGGGCAGAAGCTGCACTTTTCTGTGTTGCTGCCACAGCTCAAAATGTGCCTAAAAGCCCATTCTTACTCTGTAAAGCCTGAAAGGTGCAATCATGTCCACACAGTTTTGGACAAGCAACCAGTATTGTTCAGATAAAGCCCAAAAGTTGGCCTTAAGGGCTGCTTTGACCACCTCCCAGTGAACAAGCTGCCGGGCATTGAAGAAATAGCTGGTGGCTAAACATGTTAAAGAGTTTAAGGTTAGAATAATACAGAGAAGCTGCATTCTAATCATCGGTTAGTTTCTTAATGCTTTCTTTAAAAAAAAAAAAAAAAAAGAGCTGTCTTTCTCTATGCTAGTTTTTTTTTTAAAATTTTTTATTATACACAATAAGATGACATCAACATACTACTTCTTAGACTGTTAGACCTGTTAACGGATTGTCTTTTTGGAAGTTGCAGGCTTCTCAGCGCACATTGTTTTCACCGTGCATCTGCATGGTTTTTCAGACACTTTAACTCTGTTACTTTCACTCTGTTACTAATTATGTGGCGAGTCCTGTCTGTGAAGCAGAGACTCGGCTCTGCTCTCCGTGCTACTTTCCGCCTCCATCTGTGTCGCCTTGCCTGGTGCTTTTGGCTCTGTGCTTTTCTCACTTGTGTGATCTCTGCACCCCCTCTAAATGTTCCTTCTGTCTCCTTTTCTTTCAGTCTTGGTCTTGGTAATGGGCAAAGAAGGGGTCCATGGAGGTGGATTGAATAAGAAGGCATACTCAATGGCAAAATACTTGAGGGATTCAGGGTTTTAGTTTAGCTATAGCTTATGTGATGTTGTAGAGGGAGAGAACATTTAAGAGAAAACTGAACAAAAAAAAAAAACTTTAAAAGGAAAAAGGTACTGTCAAGCCTGCATTTCTTCCCCAAACGGTCCCATTAGGCAAAATCCCAGGAGTATTTCTAATGGGTGCCAAGTTCAGGCTCTGGCCCAACAGTGTAGCCCCATATTTAGCTGAATCAAGTGTTTGTTTCCTTGTTGTTTTTCCAGCCTTGCTATCATGCCTGTTTATTTATTTTTTTCCTTTTTGTGTACCCCAGTATTGGTTATTGTCATGGGGAAAGATGGTGTCCACGGAGGGACGCTGAACAAGAAAGCATTTACAATGGCCGAATACCTGAAGAAGGCCGGATACTAAGGAAGCCTGTTCCCAGCTACCTAGCAACCCACCCATGCCACCCTTCTGCATTTCAGACTCCTTCCAGTCTGTAGTTTCTGCCTTCTCCCTCCCCTTTTGTTTCTACACCCCACCATTTTTTTATTTTTTTTGTCATTTTCCTAAAACCCTCCTGTCCCCGAGCATATTTGCGCTGTGTATTCTTAAACCCCTTCAAGCACTCGAACGTCGATCCTTGGCAGATACGAGCGTGTTGCTAAACAGGATGTCATGACGGATCGGAACATAACCGTGACCAGCAACAATTCTGGCAAACCTCGTGCAATGGAAGGTATAGCGTGGATTTGAAGTAGAGTACTCTAGTTTTCTGTTATGGTACCCATCACTCTATATGCTCCTAGTCCCGATTAAACACTCCCGCCCTGAGCAGCCTAGGCCTACGAGCTCTTGAGCAGTACCTGAGCTCGCCACGTCTTCCTTTAGACTGGTGCATATCTCGGACCACTACTCCTCACCCTCCAGTGTAGTTCAGCCATCACCACCCTGCTGCTGTTTTTTTTTTTTTTTAGCATCGGCTACATCCAGATGCTAGCATATGCTTCTCCCCAGCATCACAGCCTCCAGGACTACACGGACATTCCACAGTAACAGCTCAGGCACTTACTATTTAGTTTGCCAGCTCCTGTGATATATCAAATTTTTTTATTTTTTGAAAGGCTGCAACTTTTTTTTTCTTCTTCCCAATAATTTTTGACCGTATATAACCACCTGGAGTGTGTCCAGTTTTTTTTTTTCCTTATAGGACCAAGTGTAGTCACAGCTTGGGTGTTTATACAATTGCTAAAAGATGTAAAGGAGGACTTTTTTTTTTTTTTTCTCTCTCTCGTTCGGGCCGACTTTATAAAGCCACAGGGCAGGTGAGGGTGGGAGTATCTTGAAAAAAAAAAAAATTTAAAAAAATCTTGTCTTAGAAAAATGAATGCATTTGTACAAACCCATGCTGTGTTGACAACTACATAACTGTGGAATAAATTGCCTTCTACTCTAGTCAGCTGAGCTCTGGGGTATCACACGGTCTGTCCACGCTCAGCACTGCTTACTGTAACGTCCAACTGATAAACGACTAACTTTTAAAAAGTAGAAATTACACTCAATGGGAGATGGGATTAGTTGAAACGACGACGCTCATGGATGTCTTGTCAAAACTTAACTGCAGAACCTGTGTATCCTGTGCCATAATGTAGAGATCTGTTGTAAGATGGATTTGATCCAAATAGGAAAGAATTTCATCTGTACCTTTTCTTTCCTTTTAGCTTCAGCTCCACTATTTAGGCCTTGTGGGATATATGTACTCATTAAAAATAAGGAAACAAGTTTGAAGTCCTGTTTGCCGTTTTTGTTCATTTCCTTTCCTCACTTTCACTTTTTTTTTTGTGTCTGGGATACAGTCTTTAATGCATCTGATTTCATATGCATAAACCAAGAAATGCCATAAATTGATTTATCACCTTGTTTACAGACAGATCAAATAAATTTATTCCAACCAGATATGTGTTTAGTGTCAGTTCTTCCACCACCTAAATTTGGTTGATTTTCTGAGAGGTGTTTAAAATGTGAATCAATCAGCTGTTCTCTAAAGGTTTTTATCTTCTGGAAATGCTAAAATGCGTTTGTGTTCCTCAGCCTTTGCGTTAAGAACTTAAGTTGTGGCCGCGATGAGACAAAACGAGGACTTCTCAGATGGAAATTTGATCGGAGCCATGCGTGCCCTCACATTCCCAAAAGGTCAAACAATGGGATAAAACCAGGCTGCTCTAAACCCCCTCCCTGTGAGAATAGAGAATCCACTCTTCATTTCTAGTCAAAACAATGGAAACTGCATTACAAATCCAGAGCTAGATCATCTTCAAGATGTCCGATGAGCATGGAGACACGTCTGAAGTCTGCCTTTTCCCAAACAGGCCTTTGCGATTAAAAGCTAACTACCAAAAATAAAAAGTGTTAAAAGAGCAACCACAGGATGCCGAAGTGCTCACAGGTAACGTGTTTTAAAAAAAAAAAAATTACCGTATGTGAATCAACTGACAAAATGTCGAGTGTAAATTTGTTTTTGTTTTTTATTGGAGTTAAAGATGTACATGAGCAGGCAGAAGAGACAAATGCAACTCAAAAGGCAACAGGACATAAAGGTCGTCATTTCATTGGGCATTACCTCTAAACGGTATTAAAATGAGCGGCGGTCCATCGACCTGTGGCCGTCGTATGGGGGCTGGCAGCCGTCTTGAGAAGTGTGGAACTTTAGGAAATCTTTACATTCATATGCTTGCCTTACAGCACACTCCTCATTTTCCCTTTATGACTTCAGAATGCTTTCTCCGTCTGATGGACTGTAACAGACAAACTGTGGCACGAAAAAAAACAAAAACGCTGGAGCGCGGCGCCGGGCTGGACGTGCGTCGGCAGAACAGCTTTTCCGGTTCGCCGCTTCCGATTGGCTGCTGCGCGGCGGCTCGACATGCGAGCGGTCAGCGAAAAACGTGGGCGCGCGGCGTTGGATGTGTGAGGCCGTTTTCTCTAATGGGAGTGTATGTACATGTATGTACATGCGGGGGGGGG